TGTGATCGATCCTGGAGAATGATCCGTGTGCGCTTGAGAAAAATGTGTACTCCGTTTTTTTTGGGTTTAGTGTTCTATAGATGTCTGTTAAGCCCAAATGCTCTAGGTCCTTATTTAGAGCTTTAGTTTCTTTACTTATTTTTTGTCTTGTTGATCTATCCATTGTTGATAGTGGTGTGTTGAAGTCTCCCACTACGTATGTGTTTTCTCTGATGTCTGTTTTCAGAGAGGACAACAGTTGTCTGATATATTTTGGTGCTCTTTCGTTTGGTGAGTATATGTTAATGAGTGTTATTTCTTCTTGAAGTATTGTCCCCTTGATCATAATGTAGTGACCATTGGGGTCTCTTTTTATTTTTTTGAGTTTGAAGTCTGTTTTATCTGATATAAGTATAGCTGTTCCTGCTTTCTTTTTTGGCCCATTTGCTTGTAGGATTGTTTTCCATCCTTTGACTTTGAGCCTATTTTTATCTTTTGTAGCTAAATGTGTTTCCTGGAGACAGCAAAAGGTTGGGTTTTGTTTCTTAATCCAGGCTGCAACTCTGTGTCTTTTTATTGAAGAGTTTAGTCCATTTACATTTAGAGTTAATATTGATATGTTAGCATCTGTATTTGCCATTATGTTTGTCTTTCCTTTGATTTTATTTATATTTTAATAACTTTTTTTTTTTTCTGGTCTTCTTTCGTTGTTATTCGTCCCTCTGAGGTTCTGGCTTTAGGATTCCTTGTAGTATTTTTTGGAGTGGGGGTTTAGTCGCAATGAAATTCTGGAGTTTCTCTTTGTCTGGGAAGGTCCATATTCTTTCTTCATGGAGGAAAGAGAGCTTTGCGGGATAGAGTATTCTTGGTTGGCATCTGTTTTCTTGGAGTCTGTTGACTATGTCCCTCCACTCTCTCCTTGCCCGTAGTGTTTCTTCAGAGAAGTCTGATGTCAGCCTGATTGGTTTTCCTTTGAATGTTATCTGTGTCTTCCCTCTTGTCAGCTTCATTATTTTTTCCTTGTCCTGGATTCTTGGGAGCTTTACTATTATGTGTCTTGCTGTGTTTTTCCTTTCGTCGTGTAAGTTTGGTGTTCTTCTTGCTTCTTGTATATCAATTTTCAGCTCCTTCTTCGCATTTGGGAAGTTCTCTTCAATTATCTCCTGGAATATTTTCTCTGTTCCTACATCTTCTCCTCTCCTTCTGGAATTCCTATAACTCTTATATTTCCTTTCCTCATGGAGTCAGATAGTTCTCGAAGTCTTTCTTCATTCTTTTTCCTTCGTACTTCTCTTTCCTTTTCTGTTTTGGTTCTTTTTATTTCTGTGTCTTCAAGAGTACTTATTCGTTCTTCCATTTCATCTATTCTGCTTTCATTGCTTTTCCCAGAGTTCTTTAGTTCCTCCATTAATTCTTTGATCTCCTGCATTTCTTTTATTTCCCTCTTTAGGGACTCTATTTCCTTCTTCTGATCTATCACTTTTTTAATCATGGCAATTTTAAATTCTCTTTCTGGAAGGCTCAGAAGTTCTTCCAAGTTGCTGTCGTTGCAATCTGGGGAGTGGTTTTCTTTTTGTGGTGTGCTTCTTTCCTGAGGAGTTGTTAGGTTGCGTGTGGTTCTTCTACTCCCTACTGTCTGTTTTCTAATTTGTCGTATGCGTTGGGACACTGTGTTGCTCGGACTGACTGGCATCTTGGGTGAGCTTCTCCGCTCCCCTCTGGCTCTTCCAGGAGCCATCTCTGTCTTCTGGGGGAGCTTTCTGCTGGTTTTAGGCAGTTTTTACTGAAGAAATGTCCCTGTTCTAAAATGGCGAAGCGGGATGCAGTCCCTGTGCCTCCGGTTTCAGGCACACTCTTCTGTGCCCCCGGTCTGCCCCTGACGTGGGTGCCTGCTCCCTCTGTGGGCTCAGACTGCTGGTCGGAAGGGGCCTGGCGTGGGGTGGGCTAACTTCCCGGCTGGCCACTGGGTCCTCCAGAAGCCTTCTGCCCTTTTCAAGCAGTCTTAAGAAATTTCCTGTTCTATGGGGCGTTAGTGACTTTTTTTTCCTGGTCGCTAGGTGGCGCCAGAGATCTCTCCTAGTGTCCTTGGGGGGCTGTTTTTCGCCCCCCCCACCCCGTGGGACAGGGAACAGAGCGGGAATGGTAGGGTAAACCTCAACAGCTTTGGGGTGCTGTGTCTGCCTTGTGCCCCACCGTCGTGGAGAACCCACGCCCCGAATTTCGTGCCCCGGGTCTCAGTTCAAAGCCCTCAGGTCCAGGACGTGGGCTGTAGCCCAGTTCAGTGGCGCGGGAATGGCGCCTTTTGCACCGCTCCCGTGCCTGGGCGCCTGGTTCCTGCTCACTCAGGGAGGGACCTTCACCTCAGTGAGGACCTCCGCGTGTCTCCCCGCAAGCCTAGGTCGCAGGCGCGGGGACCTGGGCCGCTGCGATCCCGGTCCGCGTTTTCTTTTCAAGCGCGCCAAGCGCGCCGCTTTCCCTCGCCAGCTTACCGGCAGCCCGGGCTGTGTGCGCGTCTCCCAGGGTCTTTGTTCTTCTCTAATGGCGCCCGGAGCCGTTCGCTCACCGCCGCGGCGAATCCTGCAGGGTTCGCCTCAGCTCCCGTTCACGGGGTGTGGTGGCTGCAATAGTTCCTTTCCACTCCCAGTCCCGCTTGCTGCGTCGTTTGTTCTTGTGGGTCGTTTTGGTTTGTTGTTTCCTCCTCTCTGCTGGTCGGAGAGTGCCGCCTCTGTGGGCGGGGAGGGAGCAGGGTTCTGCGCTTCCCTGCCTTCTAGTCCTCTTTTATGGCCACTTTCTTCTTCGGGCAGTTTGCTGGCGTCACCCGTTTATCTTCCGTGTCCCAGTTCTCTCTGGGACCTGCTGCTTTTCCTCCCTATTCACTTTTTTTAATGGGAGATCTTACTCGCAGAGTCTCCTCGCCGCCATGTTGCTCCGCCCCCTCTTCCTGTTTTAAGAAAGACCTTTCACTGCTCATCTCGGAAAAGAGCTTTTGTTTGCACTTCAAAATTTCCCCTCCTCTTGCTTCTTCTAGTCTCCTCCTGACCCAGCAGAAAGATAGATGTCAGGTCGATACCTCTGGCCTCTTTTGAAAATCTGGCAATGGTATTTATCCTGTCAGCAGATTGTGGGCATTTAGCATTTTACATCTTGATCTGTCTTCATTACTGGAGGAAAAGTCCTTAACTATCCCCATTTCTTTCTGATGAATAGCTTGGGCTGGGAGGTTTGGTTCCCTCACTAAGAGCTATAGATCCCCTGCTGTTTTCATAGACTGACTTTTGACATAGACTGCTTATATTCAAGGAGCTGATTGTTACTAAGTTACTGCCATTTTATACCAGAACTTAACTTTTAAACCCTGCTTAAATAGACTTCTTAAGGATTTCCTTGGTTGATGTTTAAAATTCTGGGTTTTTTTTCTGATTACCAAAATAACACATGCTTATTGTGAAAATGATTTAGAAAACATAGAAATCACAAAGGAGAAAAAATAGAAATAAAGACCTCCCATAGTTTCACCCCATCCAAATAGTAACTTTTTGCAATTTTTGTATGATTCCACGTAATAAGCCTTTTTCTATTCACATATGTAGGTTTATATGCCTTAAAATTTTTTTGGTAGCAGGGAGGAGACCCAATGGAATAAGATAGAAGATTATGGAGGCATTAGTGATAGGTGTGGTGTGGTAATATAGCTGAAGTAGTGTAAATCTGTACCTCTAAATCATATACAGTGTTGTAAGTCAGCATTATCTCAATAAAAAATAATACAATTACATTTTTTCTCAAAAAATGCAGTTCTTTTGTATATACTGTTGTAATTTGTTTTTGTAGCAATGTGTCTGTGTGGTTATTTCATATGGTTGTATAGTATTTCATTGAATGGATATAATTTAATTTCCTTTTATGATTTTTTTATAACTTCAGTAATTTAATGTCAGTTCAATAAACACCTTTCAATATCTGTTTTTGTGTATGTGTTTTGCTGTTGCCTTTTAATTCACTCTTAGAAGTTTAATTGGTGGATTGAAGGTTGTGTACCTACTTATAAGCTATGGGAGGACTTTTTCTAGTCAAATCTAAATACATCAGTCATTTAAATATTTTTGAATATAATAGAATAATGTTTTAACTTCTATATTCTTGATTATTAGAGACTGAATATCTTTTCATGATTTCTGGCCACTTGTGGTTTTTTCTGAGATTAATTTCTGTTAAGTAATAGTCTTTGATATGTGTATTTTTCTAAGATACGTATATTTTATAAGCAGTAGAATTTTACTTCCTGAATTCAGTAATAGATTATGCTTTCTATTTAAAAATGCTTTTCTTGGGCCTCCCTGGTGGTGCGAGGGGTTGAGCACCGCACTATGAAGCGGTCCGCAGCCTCTGCAGCATGAGTTCAATCCCTGGCCAACCAGGGAGCTGCCCACATGGTGCAGCAGACCTCTCCTGTCTCGCCCGCTGCTCCCCTCAGCAGTGTATTTCAGTCAGTCTGCCTGTTCTGTTCCCCACTCTGTCTCTGGTGAATCCTCTCCCCGCCCATCCCCGCATCTCTGGCCTGTACCCTAGCTCTTGTATGCATGAATAAATAAATCTTTTAAAAAAAAATGCTTTTCTCTTTGATGGCCTCATTTTCTTAAAATTATTTTCAAGTCTTAAGGTAGGAAATTACTAAAGAAAACCAAACTTGTTAGAAGAATTTCTCTGTCTAAAATACAGATGAAGAGGTCTGAAATCCCTAATTCTTGTTTGTGCCCTGTTTTGGCTTAGCTATTCTTTCTTTGCTTATTACATCTGGTTCTTGAGCATGTTCTAGATAAGAGATGTCTATATAGGTAAGATCTGCATCTGTAATTTTACATGGTCCTCATTTTTATTATTAAAATTGAAGGAAATGGAAATTGTTGATTCAGATATTGGTTTTAACTAATGATGACTTCGAAAAATCATGAGATTTAGATGCCTTGAAATAAATTTTCTGTATGATAAAGGACATATCATTTTTACTTTATTGCTTTTAGAAGAAAAACAACAGTGAAGACATTATGTATTTATGCGGACTACAAATCTGATGAAAGTTATACTCCAAGCAAGATCTCAGTCAGAGTAGGAAATAATTTTCACAACCTTCAAGAAATTCGGGTATGTCTTTAAATTTTAAAAATATGTAATCCTGTAGCTCTTTTTAGGTGATACCCACATTTGCCATTAGATTAGACATATTAAAATGTTAATATATAAAAGGGAAATTGTTGCTATTTGAGAAAACATTTTTTAAAATTATTTCAAGTTTTCTTTTGATTCTGATCATCATCTTTATTTTTACCCTAACATAAGTTATGGAAGTCTTAAGACATAAAGAAAGGTTCAAAGAATTGCGTAGTGAGCCCCAATATTCTCACCCCATAGATTGTACAGTTGTCATTGATTTGTGATGTTGCTTTATTACAATCTTTCCATTCATCTATTTTTTTATGCATTTCAAAATAAGTTGCAGGTATCTATAAACTGCACCCCAAATAATTCAGCATGATATATGATAACTGGATATTTGCTTAAGTTTCATTTTTAAGGTAAAATTTATGTAACTTTTACACAAAGTATTAAGTATATTTTTTAATGCATTTTGACAAATACATAGCTTTGGGGCTATTTTTTATAGCCCCAACTGCTATTAAGATATGGAATATTTCCAATGCCTCAGCAAATTTCTTCCTATCTCTTCCCAGTCAATCTCCATCTCTGCTCTACACTCAGAAGTAGTCATTGTCCTCATTTCATTCACTCATTCATTCCTTAAATCAAGTTTGCCTGTTCTAGAATGTCATATAAATGGAATCATGCAGGGTTCTAGAATCATACACTATTCTGGAACTTTTCTCGAAGACTTCTTTCAGCCTACTTTGGAAGATTTATCCATGTTGTTCCTTTTTTTTTTTTTTTTTTTTTAATTCCTGAGTTGTATTCCATTATTGGAATATACCACAATTTATCCTTTCTATAACTTTGTGAAGCTATTAGGACAGTGCTTTTGTGACCTGAGTTTTATTATTCTTCAAATTCATAAATTACAGAGATATTTTCAGTGATTTTGAATTTGTGAAGTTCTGGCCCTTCACTTTTTTTCTTGTCAAAAATCATTGAACTCAACCATTCAAATATTTTAGGTTAAGTGAATCTGAAAGATCTTCGATACACTTGTGAATTTTTAAAGCCTTCCAGCTAGTTTTCAGACTGGACTCCTATTTGACTTGGTGTTTATATTAAGATCTTGTTCCTGCATTTACATTTTGTCCCTCAGCACACTTAATAGAAATCACATATATTTTCAGGTTTTCTCGGTAAGTACAGTATTGTTGTGAAAATTGTTTGTGGATTTATAAATAAGAATAGACAAGGATACTGTCCATGGGTATTTTTTATCTTTTCATCCTTTGAGGTAAGTTCGTCACTATTTGAAATGACTACCTGGTCTTCTTCTACACATTTATCTTCTTTTACTTTAAAGAATGATACTATAAATTTTCATGAGAATAGTTTGGTTTTGAAAAGTTGTCATAAATAAGGTATTCTTCTATTGGTCTAGAAACGTTTATGGTTGTGCTGGATAGTACATACTGGTGAATCCGCACTACCCATGCTTCAGTAACTTTGTTAATAGAGTAGCTATTAATTTTTTCATGAATTTCTTCACTTCAGTGATATTTTCATTCATAATCTTTTACATTTCTATTATCATGATCATATTGGGACTATTGTTAACCCTTTTAGTTATGTATCTGATATATTTGATTAGCACTAAGTGATTTAAATATTTACTGGAGATGTTTACTTACTATCTTTGGTTAAGCATTTTGTATTTAAAGATTGGATCACTCAGATTGATAAAACTTTTGGTAGCAATGTTGGGCTGTTTTGGCTTAAAACTAATGATGTGTTACATGATCCCTCAGCCAGGTTGAGATGTGAAACAAATAATATTGATGTATTTGAAATGTCCACTAGATGTCACTGTTGTCCTTTAGTTGCTAGTCTGATAGCCTAATAATAAATTCAAGACCTCCTGTAGTCTTAGTTGTTCTAGTTTTTCCTAGAGTATATTTAGTTAAAATTTTTGATCTGTTTTGGGATATGTATGCCTTCATATATGATTTCTGGATTTATGTATTGAATGTATGTTTTGTATCCTGTTGCAAATTGGAGAAACTTTAAATAATACTTGGCCCACTATGAAATACTTTTAATCTAGTCTTTGCTTCTATAATATCATTTAAGTGCTGAAACATTACCCAATAGAATAAGAGCTCTTTTAGGTAGTCTCTTAATTTTATTCTAAGTGTGTTTATATTTCTGTGTAGTGACCACATAACCTCATGAGACCAGTAATACTAAATATTACCAGGTGATAATGTAAGTTGTTTTCCTGCAAAACTTAATGAACATTCTGCTTTTCTGCCATAGTTCTCACTAAGGAACCATAATTTTTGGATTTTGCTTTAAAATATTAGTGCTACCCTTTGCAGCTCGTGATATAAAGGATACTTTATCTTTTAATTATACGTCTTTATATGTGATTTATTCTGTTTACTTTTTTTCTTTTATGAGTTAAGGAATAAGGATCTGATAGCACTTTGTTTTTTAAAGAGAGATAAACAGACTGTGATTTTATTTTCTTGTATTACTCTACAAGATCTAAATTGTTAGTTAAAAAAACTCTGTGCTCCTTTTAACTCAGATACTAAGACAAGTAATTAAAAAGTGTGAACTTTTATAAGGGTTTTAGAGCCATCATTTCATTAGTTATAGGACTGATTTAACTGAGTGGAAAATCCAACTAAATCTTTTTATATTTTTCCGTGGATGTTTGCCCACTGAGGGTGTATGTAGAATGTCCTGGGGTGTTTTAATAGGTTTTCCTTTTTTACTAGAAGTTTTGCATTCGTTTACTTGAAACACTTTAAAGATATACTTTTCATAATTTTATTATTGATTTGAGGTAGCAACTTTTAAAAAATTATAGGTCAGATTGAAAAAAGCTGATGGCTCCCATTTGTCCAGAAATTACTCTCCCTGTCCTGTTTTGTTTCATTCAGTTATAAAGTCTGATATTATACCTAGATATTTGTTTTACCTCTGTGGAAAACTCTGCAGACACCAAGGTTCCCCTCCCCCCCCCTTTTTTTAACTATTCTAGATTGTATATTTTAGCCTGTATACTTGGGGAGGGACTTAAAATAGAAATGTTATGTAGTCTTTCTGCTTAATGCAAGCTACAAGTGCTGAATTTGGCCACATGGAATATTTTTAATACCAAAGTTGAATTTATTATGCTTTCAAAATTATCCATCTTATATAAATTGGAAACCAACAGGCTAAGAACATTTTATAAGATGTTTATAATTTACTGTTTTTATATGGGGCCATTTCTTTACAGCAGTGAGAACTTACTGTTTCAGAGTCTATATCATCTTTCATAATATTTCATCTCAGTTTTGTTACTTTGTGCAGTAACTCTTGCTCTGGACATTATTCAAGAAGTTTTCAAATAAAGAGATAGTTGTTTTACAATTTTTGAAATCATTTGTATTTTTTATCATTATGTTTTGGTTTAATGTCCTTTTCCTTTATCCCGAGAAGGACTTAAAATGTGCAAAGGAAATTTTTTGCCATAGCAAGAAATCAAAGAATATTATTATAGCTTAAAGTGACCATTTAACATTTTAGAAAACCTCTCTAGTTAAGATCCAAGAAATTAAAGATCCAAGAATTAAATTTCTTTTCAGTTTGTTAGCTAGTTATTTCTATCTATTTAAAAATGATGGTGGAATTTTTTGTGCTTTTCAAAAGTATTTCTTTACTGTTTTATGAAGAAAAACTTGTTAAGGTTAAGCAGCTGTTTTCAGCAGAGGTGAAAGTTGTCCTTTGGTTCATTGTTTATATTTTGCCTCTAGGATTTGCCACAAAAGGAGAAAATATTGATGGCGAACAAAATCAAGCACCTAAGTGAATTTTAAATCTTGTTTTTGTCCTCAGATAATAGAGCGTTACCAAGTGATTTTTTTTAAGAGGAGCCTTGAAACAAGTCTTCACTGTTAAGAGAGCTGCAGTGATATTCCCCTTTCTTCCATGTGGGTGAGCCTGCTGACTCTCTACCTTGTGTCTTAAGTCAGTAACAGGGTATGGGAATCCATATATGGTGCTTTGACAGAGTGGCTAATAAGTCAGTTCTTCTGTTAAAATAACATTTGCTAGTATAATTTGAGTTCCATTAATGTGTGTGGTAGGCTAAGAAGATGCAGAAAAAGGCCCTGACCCTGTCCATTGATCTTAAAATCTGCTCATATTTACTTTCTTATGAGGGGCCTATTTTAAACAACTTAATATAAAGTGGGTCGATTTAGGCAGTATCTACAAACATAAATTAGTTTGATAACAGATTGTTTAATTTATTGGATTTTTGGAAAAAGTAGCTTTTATTGAATTTAGTCTAAAAGAAAATTTTTTTAAATTTTATAACTAACTTTAGGATATCTTTGAAATGAGTGTATTTTGGTATGATACACATAATTTTCAGGCCAGAAATGTTATCCTTTTTTATCCTTCTCTAATAGTGAATGAAGTTTAATCATTTTTTTTATTCATGCTTGCATACATTATTTATTTCCAAAATGGAGTTGAGGTAACTATGCATTTGAGGTGCATTTTCTCTTGAAATTAAAATATGTTAAACAGCACAGTATCGTGCATTTTTAAGAGGGAAACATTATTGTACCTATTTTTTGCTAGACCACGAATTTAAACTTTACATTTGTTAAGAGCTGAAGTCTGGCATTCCCATATGAGACAGATACATGCTTTGCTCAGGAAACATTTATTTAGGGCCTGCTAAGTGCCAGGCATTTTCTCGGTGCTGGTGATGCGGCATAGACACTCAACATTTCTGCCCTTTTAAGCCCTTCAAAGTCTGGTGGAAGGGACAGGCAAGGATATCAACCATTACACTGTGGTTGTCTGCTAGTACACAGGCGCTGTGGGAAGCAGCATAGAAACAGGAGCAGTGATTCTGAAAGGTTTTCTGAAAGAGCGTGGGGATATCTGAATCTTAGGGGTGAGTCAGCTTAGGGGTGAGTTTTGATTCAGTC